ATAGATAGATAGATAGATAGATAGATAGATAGATAGATAGATAGATAGATATAGATAGACGGACGGACAGACAGACAGACAGATAGATATATGTTTTCTTAAGTTTTCGCGGGTACTTACATGTATGGTATTCAGCTTTGTTCGGGTATTTTCCCACGTCATTGTAGTTGTGCTTTTAAAGTTGTAGCAACGTTTCGGCAGAATCTCATCTGCCATCATCAGGCTTCTGTATTGTGTTCGTCTGTGATTCAAAGCTGAATACCATACATGTAAGTACCCACAAAAACTGGTCTAATAAACTTTAGGAATTTAGCTTGCCACTTTAATACTCCACATTAAATGTAAACTTGGAAAAAAATTGCATTTTATTTAGTTAGCAGGGAAAAGGAAATAATGGTTTTTTAAATAAACTGAGCTCTAAAGTAATCTTAAATTTGTATAAGATGCTATTTGGAGGAAATGAAGATGGATCTTTTGCATTTAAGATTACAATTTTTCAATCCTAAATGCAAAAGATCTAGGTTTCAACTTTTGGGCTAATAAAAAAAACACCTTAGATAAAAATTGTAAAATGTTCAAAAGAGTTCCACCGTCAAGCTGAAAGGCTTCACTGTCAAGCTGAAATGTTTAAAAATAGTGAACACACATGGAAGAAATACATCTCTTAAAAATAATATTGTAATAAATTGATGCAGTTATGCAGATGGGTGATCTATAGGGGGCTCAACTGTATAGTTAGGGGACATCAAGAGAGGGAACTATATAGTCAGCAAACTAAAGCATCGTTTGAGTAAATGTGGGTGTGATCTGCCAGCAAGACTCAAGAACAAGGACTGGATCAGGATAAAGGGATCACTTCTTGACAGATATTAATGCTTTCTTCATGAAGCCATACATGTGACTTGCACAACCCACACTGGCCAATGCAGCTACTACTATAGACCCACAAGCTATATGTCCTACTCATCAGAGAGAGAGTGGAGCCTGAATACATTCTTTCAGCCTTTCTATTTTTTTTCTGCTTCCTGTATAATTTTGCAACTACATCAGATAAGGCCTGCGGCCCCACTAGCTTGCCTGTTGAGTAAAAGCCAGTGAGAGGAGACGAGCCCCTCGCTAGCCCAGCTTACCTGTCTGCGAAGTAAGCGTTCTGCACATGGAGAACGCGCAGGTGGAGCAATGTTGGGTTTGCTCTCCCAGTCAAGGTTGTATTGGGGCTTGAGACGGTGGAATCGGTTTCTTGCAATGTGCAGAGCAGCATCAGTGCTCGCAGGCTGAGACTGCACTGACGTTGTTGACCCTGAGGGAAGGATAAGAAACTTGAGAGCTCGCATCCAACAGGTTCTGCTCCTTAACTTCATTTCTAATTAAACCACATTCAGATTCCCTCTAAGGTAGCAATTCTTTAAAGTAGCGAAGAGACTTAATCAAATCAAAATTCAGATGCTAGACAACTGGTTCATATTTATGATGGTTGCAATGTCCTGGGACCATGTGATCACTTTTTGCAACCTTCTGACAAGCAAATGAAGGAGCCAGATTCACTTAACAACCATGTTACTAACTTAACAACTGCAGGGATTCCCTTAACAACGTTGGCAAAAAAGGTTGAAAAATGGGTCGATGTCCACTTAACATCTGTCCCACTTAACAACATAAATCTTGGGCTCAACTGTGGTTGTAGGTCGAGGACTACCTATACTTCCTATGCATTTCCTTAAGTTGGTTCTGGGGGAGATGGGAAGACCTTTCAGATTTGGGTTTGTTTTGTTTTTTTGAATGCATTTGAGAAGAAGCAATTCTACTCTGGGAATTCAAGACTATAATCTAGTAATACATTCTCTCTTTCTCTTAAAATCTTGGTTTTGATAAGAGGAAAAAAACCCGCCACCATTTAACACAACAGTGATGTGGCATTAGGAAGGAACTGTCACAACATTCTAAACTCTGTTTCTGCTAGCCCATTCTCACAAAGGGAAAACAAATAATTGTGCTGACTATATCTTGATTGAAATATATTTTAATATATTTGAGTCTATGATGCTATCCAGAATCAGACAGAGGGCGGTCAGATATACAGTTATGTCAGTTAGCTACCTGCCACAGTGCAGATGGCAGCCTCACAAAAGTGGGAGGAGGAGTGATGGTAGTTCCCCAGGACGGTTGCCCTATCTTTCAGAAAGCAGGCAGCAGAGATGTATTGCCATTGTCTTCCCTCATTAAAGATGTCCCCGGACTGCCAACATATCAGTGTCCAAGTATACAGTAGAAATAACTAGAAATTGGAAAGGAATGACCAGCCGAGAGGGAGTAGCCAACAGGGCACAGATGTGGTGGTTTGTTGTAGAGAAACCCTTCCTTTTCTGACATGCCCATTTTGTTCCAGATCAGAGTTTTTCCTCCACAAATCAGAGTTTCATTTTCAAATATTCCATATTCTTCTAAGACTTTTCTAAAACAGAGTTTTGTGAGGCACAAATGACGTCCACGATTCCGATAAGTCAACCTTTATTAACTAATAACTATTAACTGTAGCTGTTAACTGTAATATTAACTGTAACCGAGGTAACCGCAATAGCCGCTATATTTGCGAGTCAGCTGACAGGAACGAGCAACAGCTGATGTGGTCTGACAGTTTGTTTTTTTCGCTCGCTGTCAGATGGCTCAGCCAATGAGAATGGACTTCAGTTCCCACTCAGCTCAGCCGAATGTAACATCGAGCAGTGCTGTTTTTTCTAAATTCCCAATTGAATTATGCCTCTGGTTTTTGTGCTTCATGGAAAGTTCAAAACAGCTACATTATCAGCTAAATTCTTTAGGTTGCAAGTGAAATCACCTTGCCATCTCCAATACCTCCAATAAGTAATATATTACAGGAAGAGGTATGATGTGGGGGCAAACTCATATTCTCTGGCTCAGTTTCTGATTTACAGAGAAAAGATGGACATGCAGGGTGAATACAGGTTTCCTGTAGATGCTGATTCTACATTTTCCGTCTAACTTCTTATTTCCAGATCTGGGATTGAAACATTTGCAGCGCATGGAACCTTATAAAACTTTTCCCTACAAGATCCAACATGATCTTTTTGTGGAAAAAAAGCAATCAGAAAAAATAATTCATTTTATCTGGACCATCTCCCAGAGAAAGAACCTCATTTGTCCAGGACTGTTTCCCAGAATATCTGCCCTATTATGCAGGATTATTGAAACAAATAACTTTTGCAAAGGCCAAGTTTACTTAAATACAGCATTCTTTTCCAGCTTGAAATCTCATGTTAATCTTATTAACGTATTGGTGATATATGGCCTTAAGTAACCGCATAGCACTTTAGAGAATTGCATATTAATAAACAGAGGTCACTGCATTCAATTCTGAAAGTCAATTTTTTCATAGATGCTAGATGTCAAACCAGAGGAGGCTCTGTTTTGGTCAGAACTCTGGCAGAACATCTGTGAAATTAGGTTAGATGCCCATGTGATATTAATGTGAGGGTACCAGATCCTCCGTCTCCGTCATTCTAACAAATGACAAAGAAGTGTAATCCTTTCCCACATAACTTTCAATCAGCTTCTTTTTTCCTTTCTTAATTTCTTGAATGTTCTGCAAACTACTGATCCATAGCTTGAGATTTTTTGTGTGCATCTTGCAGATGTGTAAAGAGTTAAAATGAACAACACATTATCACTTGTAAGCATAAAATAACCTGATTTCTGATTCATAAAGCTTTGATTTCCTACTTGAGGAAGAACTCAAAGAGCCCCTAATCCATTTCTGGGTTATGAAATACATATATCTGTTTTCATTTTGGCCAAAGGCTTGCAATTGCCTTCATAAACAGAGAGGAAAGAAGTCTGGAGAAAAATATTCACAAATAAAGACTGCACAGTCTAATTAAAAGCCTATGTTCATGGATTTTCCCCCTCCCCATTTTACAGTACATAGATTTGATTCCAGGTGAACAATTTTATCTCATTTTCCTCCCGTCTGTTCTCAGTGGTCAATCACTTCTGAACCAGAGGTGGTATTCAGCAGGCTCTGATCAGTTCTGGAGAACAGGTAGCAGAAATTTTGAATAGTTCGGAGAACTGGTGGTAACCCTCCCCCAGGAGTGGGGTGGGAATGGAGATTTTACAGTGTTCTTCCCCCGCCACACCCACCAAGCCACACCCACCAAGAATGCCATGCCATGCCTACCAAGCCACGCCCACAGAACCGGTAGTAAATTTTTTTGAATCCCACCACTGATCTGAACTGTATTATTTGCTTTCTACTGCAGGCATGGATTCCCAAAATTGAATGTTCCCTCTTTTGCCAATAGGCATGTACACGCATGTGCGTCCATCCTTGCCAATCTTTTCATACAAACTGGTCTTAAGAGAGCCAGCTTGGTGTAGTAATTAAGGCACCTGGCTATAAACTAGGAGACTGTGAGGCCTAGTTTGGTCTTAGGCATAAATCCAGATGGGTGACCTTGGGCCAGTCTCTCTGCCAGCCCTTGAAAGAAGAAGGCAAGGGCAAACCAATTCTGGAAAACCTTGCCAGGAGTCTAGGCAGTCTGAAGGCAGGCACACACACACACACACACACACACACACACACAGAGAGAGAGAGAGAGAGAGAGAGAGAGAGAGAGAGAGTGTCTTATTCAAGTATTTTGGTTCTGTGTTTAATGAACCCTGCTTCCCTGATCTCCTGAGACATTTTTCTCTGCCACAGGAAGCACTTGTGATTATGACCCAGGTACTGAGGCATCTTAAGAACATGCACAGCTTCCCCAGCACCATTCTACTGCCTTCCAGAGACTGTCTTGTTTCTGAAGTTGGCTTTCTGGAATTTTCTGGCTGAGAAGAATGCATAATAGAGATTGTTGATTCTAGTCTACGAAGTTCCCTCAGATATTTTTAAGGAATAAATGTGGTTTTTACAGATTAAGTCAAACATATCATTTTGAGATTAGGCTAACTACAGCAGGGCTTATCCTTTTGCGTATAATCTAGCAATGGATGGGATGGGAAGGAAATTATTTCATTTTTTATGGCTACTTGTTCTTGCAATCCACCATCTTTATAAATCTTTAGTGACATAAACAAAATGGGCTGCTTCTGAAAAGAAATAAACACAGAGTATAAACACAAAGTAAGCTCTGACTTACTTTTAAAATACTGAAAGGTATTTAAAGCACTTTCTTCTGGAAGAAATCCATCTCCCACTGAATTTCAAGGGTGGCAACTATTTTTTTGTAAATGCTGAGTGAAAAAGACCAACAGGTAGTCCTCGACTTATGAACACAATTGAGCCCAGAATTTATGTTGCTAAGTGACAAAATTGTTAAGTGACTTTTGCCCCATTTTACAACTTTTCTTGCCACATTTGTTAAGTGAATCACTGCGGCTGTTAAATTAGTAACACGTTTGTTAAGTGAATCTGGCTTCCCCATCGGATTTGCTTGTCAGAAGGTCGCAAGAAGAGGATCACATGACCTTGGGACACTGCAACCGTCATAAGTATGAACAAGTTGTCAAGCCTTTGAATGTAAATCACATGACCATGGGGATGCTGCAATCGTTATAAGTGTGAAAAATGGTCATATATAACTCTTTTCAGTGCCATTGTAACTTTGAACATTTACTGAATGAAATGTTGTAAGTTGAGGACTACCTGTATTTTGTTTTGGAAGCAATTAAAAGGCATATATGATGCCATGGGTAGTAGGGATCTCTTTTTTACTGAGAGTCTTCACATTGATCCTTGGATGTTTTTATTTTTTCCAGAATTTGAGGACACAATTGTAGAGTTTGGGGTATCATGTCCCAAGTATTATGGGAAAACAGAATATTGTTTTGATGTAGGTTCTACTGGGACTTTAGCTGCTATATTTATTATGGTTATTATTATATGAAATACGTTGCTGCTTTTTAATTTTATCCTGTAGTGCCAAGAAATTTATACACTGCCTAGGGAACTATGATTCATGGTTGGTTTATAAATATAATTTATATTCATATGCAAGTATAAATTATGGATACTCTAGTATTTTTTTTTAATGCTATGTCTACATGTTAGTTCATCTTCATTATAAAACTTCACTTTTCTGTTGAATTACCATCTAGGCTGATATTGCATAAGGCTCTAGTGTTGTCGTTATTTTAGATATTGTTTTTGATGTGCTGGCCTGAAGTCAAGCTTGATTCCTTGATTTTGAAATTCTACACATGGATCATTTTATGAACTCTTAAGTTATGCTATATTGAATACTGCATGTGATTTTACATTATTTTATGCTAAGCTTAAAGTATCAAGGTATTGCTTTGCTTAATAGCTATAGTTTCTGCATTAATATTCCTGCTGCTAAACAGCAAATGTTCTCATTAATATGCAAATTTTAATATCTTTCACTAACCTCTTCACATATTGTACGATTCTGAACAATATTCTCAAGTGCTGGGTGATGGCACTTGACAATAATTTCTCCTTGATCCTGAAACGGGCTTTCTGAGAAACGGTTGAGGAGAGGAACTAGTCTCAGACCACCCCTTAGGATTCTTGTTACAAAGTCTTGGTTCTTCTTCCTGGGACTTTAATAAGATTGCTTTTCATTGCAGAGAGCAGAGGGGTCATTATGCAATTTCAACTCTTTAGAAAAATGAATACTGTACAGATGTTCTATCACAGGGGTGTCAAACTCGATTTCATTGAGGGCCGCATCAGGATTGTGTTTGTTTTTGGGGGCCCGGGGTGGGCATGGCCAGCATATCACTCATGTCAGGGGGCACCTGTTGTGGCCCAAGAGCTCTGCTAGTGAAAATAGGCTCCTGAGCTCCATTTTCGGCTGCGACAGCCTCCTGCAACCCTCTGCCAGCAAAAATGGAGCTCAAGAGGGCCACATGCGGCCTTCACAAGCTCCGTTTTTGGCTGCCAGAAGCACTGTGGGCTGGTCCTTTGCTGTTTCCAGGGTGGTCCTGAGGGCTAGATTTAAGCACCACCCTGGGCCGGATTCAGCCCCTAGGCCTGGAGTTTGACACCCCTGTCCTATCACTTCACTTCACATTACTGCTAAGGGAGAGAAGTACTAAGTCTGAAACAAGTTAGAGTGGCTAATGAAGGGCTGCCACTCACAATAACAGTCCTGCATCACTCCCTGTTCTCATCCTGTACTATTGTTTGAGATGCAATCTCCTTGTCTTGTATATTTTTCTTCTCCACCTATTCCACCGATCTGTGCTGGGTCAGGCAGAATTTGCAGCAGTGCCACAGTGACATTCACAGCTTTCATTGTGTTAGGAAGAAGGGGTGGCAATGTCACATGGGAGCCTTAAGTTTTTTTTCATGATGCCCTAGCATCCGCTGTAAATTAATCTAGCAAGTTTGAGTTCTAATTTTCACGTCTTAAAAAGAGTATATACCTAAGATATTTCACAATGGAGAAAACAAGTGATGACATGAAATGACTTGAGTGTACTTACAGCAGTGAAGGACAAATTTAACAATCAAAAGATTTTGAGCAAGGAGCGATCCCTATAAAAGACCAGGTTCTTTTAAAAAACAAGGGCCTCGCTCTAAGTTACATGGCAGTATGATTCATGGAAAAAGCTGTTTCAGGTAGGCCAGAGTGGTAAAACAACATGAGGCAGATGACTTTTCATTCTTCCCTGGTTTAAATAGTTGCCATTCTATTTCATATACAACTTTATAGAAGAGGTTTTAGCAGAGAAGTAGCAAAAAATTAAGCATTCCTGCCAGCTCAGCTTGCTTCTTATCTTCATCATCCATTTCAAGTCAGTCAGGATTTGTGTGGATTTATGCGCAAGCCCCATTCAATTTGGCCAAGGGAGTTAGCTGTTAGTTTCTGATTCATAATTTCAGAATCAGCACTGGACTCTTCCATACAGTTTGCAAATTATATCCAAGGCTAACAAAAACAAACAAACACTTCCATAAAGCTCTACCTGAAAAATCACATATAAGAATTTTTTTTTTTTGAGACAAATGCTATGTACCTGACTGAGATTTTTGATGAGATGAGTTTTTTTCTCCCAAGGAAGCATCATAGGGGCCAGCATCTGGAGCCTGAAACATATAACTGTCATTCGGCAAAGAGTGGGTGCGGCCCACAGAAGTCTTCCCTACTCTCAGCAGATCCTGGTTTGATGAGAGAATCAGGGGGTCATTAATGGAAGGAAGATCAGTCTAAAAAAAGAAAAAGAGAGAAAGAGAATGTCACAGAAGTAGAAAAATCATGTGTTTATTGGAACTGTGGCGACAACCACTGCAACAGACATGAGATGTGGTGAGCATGCAATTTATTAGGCTGTACAACTTCTAGTATAACCAAATGAAATTGCACGAATGAGTTGACCAGGAAGCGATAATCCTACATTTTTACTATTACTAAAGCACCACACATAGAATGAACCACATTAAGAACAAAATATACAATACAGGGGAACAGAGAAACAACATTACAACAATAAACCATGACTATTTCGGGATTGATTGAACAAGCATCATGCCTCAAGGCTTGGTTAACAATTGCATGCTTTGCAAAACTTTAGTCCTTTGAATGTGTAATACAAATCTTTTGAATCTCTTCCTGCTTAAAGGAAGCTTTTGCAGGAATCTGTTCATAATTCTAGTTAATTTTCTTAACAAACAGGGAGCTACTTTTATCTATGGAATTCATATTCTGTTTGTGATTTTGTATTGCCTGCATATACTAGCAGAATTACAAAGGAACATTGATAATGTATTTTCAACAATAAGGAAAATACATTAAAAAATATATCTAAATAATAAAAATGTACTGTTACAAAAGTCTCTGGTCTCATTCCAGTTTTCATAATAGCTGAAAAACAATATGTTAGAAAATCTTGTAATGATTTTCTAATCTAATTCATAGTGAAACAAAATATAAATAGTGTACATATCATGCAGTAGATTTAGCCAATAGTTTTTAATTTATCTAATATATAGAACAAATTTAACTCTGGTTTCAATTAAGGATTTAGATATTAGATTTGTCTATCGCTAATGATTCAGATAAACATAGTTAAATGCATTGTACACTACTATCAAGTCTTTTTTTATTTCTTAAATTAGAGGATATCCTAATTCAATTAAAATCAGTTGAATCGCTATATCAATTATCTTTCCCTCCCTACTGCAGTGGTATATTTCATTTCATGGCAAATACTGGGCTATGCCCAGACAGCTTCAATGAATATATGTGTAATTTGTGGAAATTCATTTGACAAGATAAAATTGACATTCATTATGGTTTGGATATATGTATACCAGCTGCTCCATCTGTTGTCTACACATAGTATTTTTAAAAAACTTTTATTATCTTTGCTATTCTGCATACATTTGCTCTTCTAACAATACTGTCAGCCTAAGTAGATACAGGTTACTTCAAAATAAGGCTTTCATCACTCTGCCTTCAGAACCATTCCTATTTTCCCCATGGTTTCATTTCTCTTAGCAGAAACAGACATCTGTTAAAATCTGTTAAGATAAGATAGACGGAATAGTTGCAGGTTGCCATTCGGTTTGGCATTTAGAATGTTCTTAATGTTCTTAAAGATACTTAAGAATAGATATACTACTCATTACTAACTTAAGACACATTAATTTCAATAAGGCATGATATGATTTAGTCTGGATCCAACCCAATCTTTTAGAACTTATTGATTTTTAAAAATAATAATAATGAATGCACCATGTGTTCTTAGATATTTAACTTTGCCAAATTATAGAACTGTAAAATAATTGAATACTGTACAATTTGAAACAACAAGAGTGAAAGTTTCCAAGGAAATTAGTAAAATAGTCAATATAAATAAACCATTAATAATAAATACAACAAGCTCTTGAGTCTTGGACTAAGAATGACCTGATAGCTTAGATGAAAAGCAATGCAGAATGTTTTACATTGTTGTATTTAAGCTCTGATCTTAATTAGTAGCAGTTTCATAAAGAACTCACTTTTTAATGACTAAATCATACTGAGAAAATACAGTGGGATAAGGAGTCAGATTAAGTCTAAATATTATAAGCCACACATAACATTTGCTAATTTAATACACTGTGAAACACAGTTGGTGTGTTTTTCATAGTTCCCTATGAAAAAATAAAACTCATTTTATATTTGGGATACATCTAAAACTGGCATTAAAACAAAAAAAAAATGATGAGTTTTGTAATATACTGAACTCTTCCAAAATATTTTAAAAATTAAAGGGCCGCATTTTAAAAACGTAGCTTTTCTCAATTGTATGATAGTGCTGAAAGATTTTTTTACATTATGTAATAACATAAAAGCCATTCAAATTAAAGCAAGTTTACTTATTAATATTGAAGGTATGCATTCTTAAATAATATTTACATTTGTTTACAAGCTTCTACTGTTTTTCTGAAGTTAAGAGGTCTTAATATTTTTGACAAGTGAATGGATTGACTTCTAATTTGATTCAAGTAATCTATGGGATTTTAGAGTTTGCCAGAGCCATAATCCTACTTTATGATTTATCTTGATAGAAAGTAAAATGCTCCCCTTCATTTAGAATCTCATTTTGAATGGCAATTCACAATTCAACAACTTTCACTGAAGCCTTCTGTCTTTTACAAATGATGCCATGAAGCATGATGGGAAATATTGTCACGGTTTAAAAGAGATGTGTCTCACATAAGTAATAACTGTTATGGCAATCTACTAGAATGATAAGAGAATTCATCAACACAACACACAGCTTAAAGGTAGATATGTGAACAAGAGTAAAATAAGAATGGATCCACTTAACGTTGGGAAGGCATTATGTCTGTTGTACAGCAGAAATAAAGCATTTGATTGCTATTAAGCAGCTAATAATATCTAATGTTTCAGGAGGAGATGGTTAAAGCAGGGTTCAAAATACTGGTAAACATGTCTCACAATGTTTTAAAAAGCCATTCTTGATTAAAATCTTAGAGTGTAAGTTGAGAAAACTGTAAATAGCTTTGCCTGCCAAACTTTCATAGACATCTGTTTGTAGCACAGTTTGGATTCAAAGGTGGGATCATTATATCATGACATTTTCCACATATCTGTAAGCAATGCAATCACCTTGATGTTGCTTGATATACTTTTCAAGAGAATCTGATTTTCTTAGTGGCTGATACCCATAATAAAGAGTGCAAATACACCTCAGAGGTAGTATTGAGGGTAATCCCAATGGAACAGATTTCTTTATGCTAATGAAAAGTTAAGAATTGCTCATCTGAAAATGCCATAGCTGTTATTACCCTCTTGATAACAGTATTTAGAACCCTGTAAACATCATAAAATACAGCCACCAGTGTATGTACATTGCTCTCCAGGGCATTAAGTAAGAGTGTGTTATTATCATCAGGTAAAGAGTCATCCGTCAGAGCTAAGGACCAGGAATTTTCAGAGAGAATATCTGACGTCAGAGACAAAGCCTCCATCTCAGCTAGAGGGATCTAAACAAGGGAGAGATGATCAAACATAAGAAACCACGACACATATACATGTCTTTGAGAAAAAGAAAGCTATTACCACAATCATTATCCTTTAAACACAGAGGTTCTTCCCCTGCTATTAAGTGCATTTATGTCATGCACATTATTGTGTAGCTAGGATCATCAGGAAAAGCAACTAAACTTTTTTCTTCTCCTTCCCTTTTGTTCTAATTCTTTTAACCAGGCTTATACATAAGCAAAATAGAAATCACAAACTGCACCGATAATTCTATCGTTGAGGGATCAAAGGGACAGCATCTCCAGAACGTTTAAAAAACATCTTAATTACATTTAAATGATACATTATTTTCAGAAAAATAGTTCTATAGCTCTGAATTTCAAAACACCAGGGCAAAACTATCTTTCTGGTAGGCACTGTCTCAAATGTTTTCCGTTGTTGTTGTTGTTGTTGTTTGCTTTAAAGAATTTATCAATCTGAGGGACAAGGAACCATACAGAAGGCTTGGCTACACAGAGCCTTTGGGTACCAAACTGTGCAATTCACTCCAGTTAAAATGATTTTGAAGCAATGTTAAAGCATTTTGAATGTAAAAGTTGCACAACTCTTCAAATTAGCAATCTCATGAGATTTTGGCTTGTTCTTTGGTGGAGAAAAAGCACTTGGCATCACACAAGACCAAGTCTCTGAAATCTGAAAGAGTTGCCAATCCTTGCCTTCTGAAAAGCTTTACTGTCCCAGGCTCAGCAGGACAATTGTAATGCAGCAGAAGAATTCTTACCACAACACACTGGATCTAGCCTCTGTATTTAAGTGTCAAGTGTTCAATATAATCTTTTTTAAAATTTTATGTCACAAAAGGTAAACATCAGATCGGAGAGCTAAAACGACTTGGCAATTATGATTTCAGTGATTCTTTAATTTTATGTACAACAGGTAGATAAAATTAATACTCAAAATTGGAATTCATTTACCGAGCACCATGTTTTTTTTAATGAAAAGTAATGTTTTTTCAAGTCCTTTTTTTGCCAGGAGATAAGCAAATTCAACAAACAAATGGAACAAAAATAACGATGAACTCTCTATTCCAAGTCTGGAGGTCAAGGGGAGATAGATTACACACCCCTTTAATCACACCAACAGCATGGTTAAAGGCAGGACACACAGAGAACCACAGAAGTGACCTTGGAGAAGGAATGGAGCAGTCAGCGAAACATGAACTAACCTAGGAAATGGAACAAAGGGTTAGAAAGAAACTTGAAGTGATTCTGCCTCGACTTCCTTCAGCATAAGAGGGAAGGAAGGGAAATGCTTTCAAAACTGTTACTAGTACTGTATATCCTACATCAATAAAGTGCTCCAGTTTATGTTTCCTGTCCTATCTTGAAGGTCTGAGTGAATATTGTTCAACTATTTAGTGCATATCTAATAAATCTATGTCTTAAATTTACTTGTTTATTATTTATATCCCACCTTTATTCTTTTTTATAAACAATTCAACACATTTAATACTCATTCCTCCTTTTATTTTCCCCACAACAAAAACCCTGTGAGGTGAATTGGGCTGAGAGTGTGTGACTGGCCCAAGATCACCCTGCTGGTGTTCATGACTAAGGGAGGACTACAACTCATAGTCTCCCAGTTTCTAGCTTGGTGCCTTAATCACTAGACCAAACTGTCTCTCTCTCTATGTCTTAAATTTTACTCCCATTGC